GCAATTGTATGGGCACTCCCTTATAAGTAACTAACTGCTTTTTTCTTGTTGATTTTAAGATTCTCTCTTTGTCTTTAACCTTTGGCATTTTATTTATGATGTGTCTTCATGTGGGCCTCTTTAGGTTCATCTTGTTTGGGATTCTCTGTGCTTCCTGGACTTGTATGTCTATTTCTTTCACCAGATAGGAGAAGTTTTCTGTCATTATTTTTCAAATAGGTTTTCAATTTCTTGTCCCTCTCTTCTCCTTCTGGCACCCCCATGATGTGATTATTGGTACATTTGAAGTTGTCCCAGAATATTCTTACACTTTCTACATATTTTGGGGTTCTTTTTTATTTTTGCTGTTCTGATTGGGTGTTTTTTCCTTCCTCAAATTCCAAATGCTGATTTGATTCTCGGCATCCTCTACTCTATTGTTGATTCCCTGAAAATTATTCTTCATTTAAGTTAGCATATGCTTCATTTCTGACTGGTTCTTTTTTATGTTGTTGAAGTTCTCACTAAGTTCCTTGAAGTTCTCATTAAGTTTCTTGAGCATCCTTATAACCATTGTTTTGAACTCTGTATCTGATAGTTTGCTTGCTTCCATTTCATTTAGTTCTTTTTCTGGAGATTTCTTTCATTTACAACATGAGTTCTTGGTCTCTGCATTTTGGCTGCTTTTCTGTGTTTGCTTCTATGTATTATGTATAGCTGCTATTTCTCCTGGAATTGGTAGAGTGGCCTTGTGTTTTAGGTGTCTTATAGAACCCAGTGGCTCAGCCTCCTGTCACCTGAGCTGGGCAGTCTAGGAGTACCCCTGTGTGGGCTGTGTGTACTATTTTGTTGTAGTTGAGATCTTGATTGTTGTTGGTATCACTGGGAGGGATTAATCCCCAAGCCAATCAGCTGTGTGGGCCAACTTAATTACATGGAAGAATTGCTGTGCAGGCAATGCCCCTATGGAGCAGGACTTGCTTCAATGGGGCTGGGACCCATTGTTCCTTATGGGGGGGGGGGGCTCTGCAGCCAAGATATACCCTCCCAATTAAAAAAAAATGCCACATGTGGGTTTCAAAACAGCCTGTTCTATGCCTCCATCCCTCTTATCAATCTCAATGTGGCTTCATTAATTCTCTAGTTGTAGGGCTTCCATTCAGCCAGATTTCAAGTGGTTCTGAAGGCTGGTTGTTCTGTGGTTTAGCTGAAATTTTGATGTGGTTGTGGGAGGTTGCGAGTACTGCATTTATCACCATCTTGGCCCTCCCTCTATCAATGCATTTTTGAGCTTTAAAGAAGCAATTTTGGAAGACAAAGATGATCAGCTTAATAATGCCATATAAAATAGCTAGTGGAAGTATCTAAAATCTAGAGTGTGCTTAGGTATCACACTTATTCTTAGTTTGCTCTTTGATTTTATTCTCGCTTTAAACCCTTCTTAGAGAACAAGCAAGAAACCAAAATGCAATGTATATGCGTCAACTCAGTGATCTGGAATCTACTGTTTCTCAGCTCCGTTCTGAATTAAGAGAAGCCAAAAGGATGTATGAAGACAAGGTGAGTTTAGATTTTGCTTCTCTGCTTCTAGAGGTTATTATACACAGAATCAATTATATAGTGTTTATAGTTTATTTTAAAATGAGAAATCAAAGTAATCATTTCAAGTTAAAAACACTTTATAAGATGGATGCCAACTAAGTTTTATTTTAATTATTTGCTCACATTAATTCATTCTTAGAAAAATGTTTTTGCATACTCAGTTTTCTAAAGACTAAGGCCCTTTTATTTGCTTTTACAAGGCTTAGCTTTGGCATATGCTGGTTCAGTACCAGCTGCTCTCCTCCTACCACTCGGTACTTTAGGGGCTACCTCCTCTCTTACTTTAACTCCTACTTATCACTCTGCAGTTAGAAAACTGAATTAACTTTAAGATTAGTCTAAATAAAAATAACTAGGAAATTAATTCTTCATCTCTTTTTATACAATTCCTCTTAAAATCAGATATTCATTAATGTTTTACTTATTTATTGATTTTTCTTCCTTTTTTTCTTTTCTTTTTTTTCATCGATGTTTTATATTGTTGTTTTCTCTCACATTTCATAGTTAAAGAGAAGTGTTCATTATCATTATCAGCCATTTTCTAGATCTTAGGTTTTTATTAGTTTCAAGCCTTTATAACACAGGAGAGACTCTACAAAACAGTCAAAGAGCTGCCATTCAGAGAAGCACGTGTTCTTTCTTCCAAGTACATGTCCGTTTGTCTGGGACAGTCCCAATTTACACCTGCTATCCCAGTGTCCTGGGTTGTGAATTCCACCTTTGTCTCCAAAGTGTCCCAGTTTGGAAGATACATTCCATATGTAGTCATCCTACCTATAAGAGAACCTAGAGTTATAACCATCACTGTTAGCAATTTCTCACACCCTAGTTTATTGAGAAAATATACAGTATAAGGAAAGTGCCAGATTTCCTTTATAAAAGTATCCAATTCTACAGCACAACAGTTCAAGAAAAAAATCTTATGGGAAGAGGCAATTTAGTATTGTAGCACTGATTATTCCACCATTTGCCTTCTTTTGAACACCCCTTTTAATTACCACCGTCACCCCTGTGCTGGCCACAGGAGGGGGCTGTTTCTCCTAGTTTCTCTGATTCAAGCATGTAATACAAGATCTTGATCTTAATTTCCAGTGGCACAGCTAAAATAAGAATGGAAATTTTAGACATGACTTTACTAAAGTCTACACAATAAAGAGCAATATGAAACTATATAATGTCAGTTATAAGATTTGGATCCTCTACAGCAGTGCTTTGAAATATTGTGATCACTATCCATAGTAAGAAACATAGTTGACTTTCTGATCCAGTACACTCAAATGAAGCAAATTTCACAAAACATATTTACCCTGTTACATATGCTGCTGGCTCTTTTCTGTCCTCTTCAGATGCTGTTTGATGCTCCTACATTGATTTCCTAATTCACTGGTGGTTCCAGTGTGACTAACACTGCATTGCAAATCTCTTGGCTTCACTCTTAGCCTAAATCCTGTGCCAAGGTCATTTACACCCTGACACCTAGGAGCAGCCTTAAGGGACCTGAGACTGCTTACATGTCAAACCCAAGAAACAAAAGCCCAGGGAGAAGCGTTTGCTTTTTCCTGCCCCTCTCAGGCCTGCTTGTGTTCTAGTCTCTTTTCTCAGGCTGAGCTTCCTCCTGAAGATTGATAGAGGGAATGTCCGCCCCTTTCTGGGCAGGCCAAGCCTACACAAAAGGTCTTGATCTCACCCTGCAGGTTCCTGATTTCAGGACAGCATGGGGTAGGGGGTGCTTTACTACTCAGATCTGGAGGAGGGCGGCACATTGGCAGAACTGAGCACTGACAATATGACAGCTAGGGAGGAAATAGGATCCTTGTGTTATAGTCCAGTACAATAGCTGTTATTGATCACTACTCAACTCACTTTGAAAAGATTAAATATTCATTGTTTATTGACAAATGAAACCCTTTGAAAAGTCATGAAGTATTAAATAAAACTTGTCTTTTTCTCTTACATGATTTGAAATTGCTATAGCTTTCATTGTAATGTCTCTTGGAGAAATTATCCCTTCATAAGCTAATATGCATACAGACTGACACATAACATCATGCTGCTAAATTCCAAAATGAGCATGGTGGAAAATTTTAGCAAATACTAAAATATATATCTAATGCAAAAATGGTTTTTGAGTTTTTATAAACATCTCTTTGGCATTGTAAAAGCAAGCATAAACATCCAGATAAATGACAGCATGAACTTTTTGAATGTTTTGAGGTCACATAGATACAAACATATTAGAATTATCGTCTTATTTTGTTCTGATATAAACAGGAATTTTGACAATCTTAAACAGTCAACATTAATAGAAATAAGGGGGCATATCTGATTAATTAATTTAACCCAGACCACTGAGATTTATCATGCAGCATTTGGAATTTAATTTAGTTGGCACCTAATTGATGGGTAACTAGAGTTCCTTAATAGTAACTCCCTTTACACAGGGAACAACAAGAGATGGTTACCCTGCCATGTTCATAGAGATTTGAACATATTCTGGCCTGAAAGGCATTTGTGCATGGTATAGCTGAGCCAAGAAGATCAAACAACTTAACAATAGGATTGCATTTTGGGGTCATGAAAAATGTCGTTGTTATAAACTGTTTTTGTTATAATGAATTGAATATAGAATCTAAAAACACAGATTCTTCTGTTTATTTTCATGTACCTTGACTTTACATACTAAAGCCTGTTAAAACTTTAAAATCTACTTTATTTTTCACTGCTTCAGTGCACATTTTAGTATATACTGTCCAAATAACAATAAAAAAAGCATAAAAGAAAATAATACATAAAAGTTGTGATTAAAAGTGAGACTTGTTGAAAAAGAAATTTATACGTGTGTGTAGATATTATATATCAAGATATTTTATGAGAAGCAGTATTAGCACTTTTTCCTGAGGCCATATTCCTTCAGATAAAAAATATTTATCATTTTAAAAAATTGATGACATGACAGGTCCGAACAAAACTTTTCCAACTAGAATGCATAAATTATGAGAAAATTTGTGTAGGAGGACATTGTTTCTCTTCAGATTAACAAAAGTGTTTTCATATTGATAAAAATAGAACTTGTGTTTTGAAGAAAATTTTAGACATAGCTTTTGTAGCTTACAAAAGTGTTTTACTGTAATGCTTTTTTCTATTCTTCTCTTTCCATTTTAGGAGAGCCTCCAGAATTCCCCTTTACGAATTTGGACCAGTAGAAGCTGTCACTATTGGCTCTGTAGATTTGGCTTTACTCTTAACTTTCGCTTTTTTACAACAAAAATATCTCATAATCTTAATTATAAGCTGATTTTTCCTACTTTGGAAGCATTTGGGGCTGAATTTCATACTCAAAAAGCGAAGATTTAGTAGCACTGGCTGGAGCTGTATGCTGTGCAGGAAGATTCTGTGCAAACCCCTTTGCACAGTTCTGCCAATGCACCTCGTGCTGACCCGCAGCACCCCTTATCATCCTGCGTCTGTGTTTTGAGCACAGAAAACAAAAGGATCCAATTCGATATGATTGGTAATATCTCTAAAATCACTGAATGATTAGAATGAGATCCCAATACTTATTTGGCCAGTGATCAAAAACTAAGAGATTAATAGATGGTGAAAGGGAAAACCAGTGCTGCTATTTAAAAAGAAAAGAAGAAGAAAAAAAAAAACCTTTAATACATCTCAGATGTCAGTATTTATTATGGACATTTTAAAAGGCTTTCTTTATAGTGTTGTTGTTTTTTTTACAGCTGTTTGTATCAGCTCAGCTGCTACATCAATGGTTTTCCCTTTCACTCTCCATTCATCTTTTTGATTGATTGATTAATATAAATATTTTTATTCTAAAAAGTGAAAGGTAAAAGCAGAGCTATAGCAGCTGAGTCAGTACTGACAACTACCAAACAAATGTTCCTGCAGGGGTCTGGAGGAACTTACGATACTTAACCTTAGACGGAAAGATAAGATTTGGCTCTTTTAGTTTTGGTCTCATACATTGTATCATCAAGTTTGATGTTATCAGATGGTCATCCAAATATTTTTTTAAAAATGAAAACACATAAAACAACAAGTTTTAATTTAAGCTTTTAAAGCACATATACAAATACTGTGCTCAATGTTAGAGTTTTGTGCCAGGCTAGCTATGAGTGGAAAATGTTTTTAGTCATATGCGTAAGTTTTTGAGTCAAAAGTGTACTTATTAAATTTATAGCTCAAAATATGGTTTCTTTGATTGTATTTTGTTCCCAAAGATAGATGGGAAATATAGAATTTTAGCTTTATCAATACTGTTCTTCTCATGTGAAAAATTATTTAGAAGCAGAATTGAAAAGAATTTGAAAGATCATCAAGAATATCTTTTCAAATTATAGATGAAAAATATTGAGACTCAAAGAGGTTATGTGACAGAACCTGGATCAGAACTTAAGATGTTTGACTCTTAGCCTGATCACATTGATTCTCTGATCACATCTGTTGACCAGATGTTGGTGTTTTTTCCCTAAGTATTCCTAGTGTCTTTAGTAACTGTTTGCTAACTTAGTCTTTCCTACTAATAATAGAACAGAGGAGATTATATAAACTGGTATTATTCATTCATTTTCTTTAGGAGGCTATTTGTGCTACAGAGGTGGAATTGTGGGGCCTTTTTTCTATATATGCCCCCTAGGAGCACAAGGGTGAAAGTACTTTATAGGATTATTAGACTCTATGAACACGTTTCTATCCATAGCCTAATATTTTATATATACTTAATTCTTGTGAAATACTTTTTATATATAACATACAACCAAAGTTAAAACAAAATTTTAAAATATATCCAATGTAAATATTAACATTTACATTCTAATTTCTGTAGGCTATGATACTACTCTGTAGGTAAATGTGAAACTTTAATAATTCTATATTAGTACTTTCTTAAGTCATATATATATGTGTATATATATATGTGTGTGTGTGTGTGTAGATAAAGATATATAACTTCTATGTATGCATGCTCATTTATCAATGACATAGTTACATTATGTGTGTATAATATGATTAATAAATATTTGTAGAATTAATAAATGAAGATCTTAAGTGAACCTAGTCTAGATAAAAATAGTCATCAAGAAAAAGTTAGTCTTGCTCATATGTTCTCTAAGAAGGTTTAATCACAGTGCACCATCCAAACACATCAACAAGTTTTATTCTTGACATAGAAGTTTAGGAAGCCTGTTGAATAGATGCCTTAGAAGTAAGAAGAAATATATAGTATTAGTGCAGACATGAAAGATGTCTTATCGCTGGAAAGTAGATGATGAAATAGTATTGTAGTATCACATTAAAGATCAGCTAACATTACATAACACTAAGTAGCAACATGTTCTTATCAGTTAAATATCTCAGTATCTAAATTATGAATTTCTGTGGCTCAACTAAAATCTAAGCTGAGTCTCCATCCTCTGAGATCTTAACCTCTTAGCTACAGGCTGTTAACAGTGATGGGCCTTCCAGCAGGTCATAGAAATGCATGGTCCACAGCTCAAACAGCTGCCCTATCTGTGTGGGAAAATACACCTATAAAAACCCTTTAAAATTGGTGCTTATCTCATTTTATAAAGAAAATTAGGATGGGAATATATAATATGTATACAAATATATTAATACTAGAGGCCCGGTGCACAAAAATTTGTGCACTTGGGGGGGGGGGGGGGGGTCCCTCAGCCCGGCCTGTGCCCTCTAGCAGTCTGGAACCCCTCGGGAGATAACAACCTGCTGGCTTAGGCCTGTTGCTGGGTGGCAGAGGGCAGGCCCAATCCCTCCCTGGTCGGGCTTAGAGCAGGGCCAATTGGGAGGTTGGGATGCTACCCTCAGTCACGCTCACGG